TTTTTTGAGGTCAGTGACATCGTACAGCCTTTCTGATTTGAGTGACTCATATCCCCAGTGGCTGGTAGCTCTCAGCAGACACTGACTGCAAATCCTGTGAGCACATAGGCAGGCACAGACATCTCACTGTGAGGAAGACTTGCAAGCTTTTCAGAGCAGGACCATATTGAACGACTTTCTATCTCTCCGTGAAATCAATACTTAATTCTAAAGTACTGTCGAGGAGACTCCCTGTGAGGGTGGGAGGGGAACAGGTCTGTTCTAAGAAAGAAGAAACCAGAAGCCAGGTCTCAGGGGAGAGGATGCCTACAGCCTCCTTGCAGTCTGGTGAGGGGGACTCAGGAGTCAGCTGCCACCACAGTGAGTGTGGGTATGAGTCACTGGAGGGGAGGAGTCCATGGAGGGAATCTGTGAGAAAATGTGCATATTGAGACATTGATTGTGCATCTGGGGGTATTTTTGGTTCCAGAATAGAATGGCAAGACGTCCTGGTGAATTGAGAGATCTATACCCTTACAGACATGGGACCAGAGGCAGTCACGCTCAAGTACAAAAAACGTGCTGATGAGAAGTACTCGTCGCTGTTGGCTCAGCCACAGCCTGTGTCAAAGGGGTGGATATAGATCCCGTAAACCCTGGTCTTCAGAACTGATGAGCAAATAGTCACTTCCAGGTTGGGTAGGATGGGTAGGTTGCTTTAGAATCACGACAAAGCTGGGATTGCTCAGCCATCTCTTTCATTTAGTCATCCAGGAATGTCTCCTGAGCATATAGCCTGGGCACCTGCTACAGGAGGTGTCCGATAGCTCAGAATGGTCCCCGTTCTTGAAATCCACAGTCTAGTTCACAGGCTTTCAGCCTTGCCCCTCTGCAGTCTACGTGGGCAGAACTCCCACAGTCTTTCCCTCCTGGAGCCTCAGGGCCCTAGGGGGTAGGGAATGTAGGTTTGGGGATCCCACTCCGAGCTGTGCACTGGAGAGCTGGCGTGACTACAGTGTGGGCATCCAGAGTGAGTCCTAGCGATGGTGTCTGTGTGTCCTGTGGATGGTCACTTTCAGGCAGAGAAGTGGGGTCGGTCAAGGCTGGAGATGTCCACTGAATGTGGCAGAAAAGAAGCCACTGCAGGCCCCTGGGGAGGCAGTGGGGGTGTGTGTGGAGAAGTAGATGACAGTGATTGGGAATAACAGGGAAAACTGAGAGGGGAGACGTGGCCTTCTCACTTTATAGACTCGGCATATTTGAGGGTTTGTCCAAGAAGTATGTATTACTTTGCTAACTTAAAAAAAAAAAAGCCCCTATATCTTTTAGATGAGTAAATGAAAGATGAAAAACAGAGCTTGTTGAAGGAGATCTTTCTTGCGGAAGATTCAGCTGTGAAGGTAAGACGGGCTATGGGGAGGAGGAGGAGGGTGTGGGTGTGAAGCAGAGCCTGTTTTAAGGTGGAGATCCCAGCGGGTTTGCCTGTGGGGGAGGGGCCCTCTTCCACTGGAGACTGACACATAACAGCGGTCGGGACACCCGTGAATCTCAGCTAGGGGCCAGGAGGCGAATCCAGGGTGACCACTCGGCGGAGATTGGTGCCATATTCTCTGCAGAGCAGGTGAGGGACTTTGAAGAAGGTGGTGGGTTGGGCTTGAGAGGAGTGGGAGAAGATTTGAGAAGGCTGCTCTGGGGACTGGAAGAAAGATGGAGTGGCAGCTATAGCACCCCAAAGCCCACATTGCTGGAGCTGGAATTGGGGCAGAGAGGAGATGGAGGCTCACAGCTCCTGGGGCTGGTAGGAGAAGGGGTTCAGCACATGTGGGTCCATGTGTGAGGCTCATCCCTCCTGTTTCACAAGCTACACCTCTCCAAGCAGCACCCCCAGTCTCTGCGGTTTGTGCCCCCAGCAGTCTAGTCTGGTGGTTACCCACTACCGGATTGGGAATCACTGATGGTCAGTAGCTGGTGCAGCATCTAGACATACACCCTCCCCAGGGCCCTGCGTTCAAACTAGGCGTCCTTAGGACTTTGATCAAATTTAGCTTTAAATCCTAGCTCTAGAAATCATCTGTCTCTCTCTCTGCCCCTCAGAGAACTAGCCTCTGCCCTGGATAATCAGCCGCCCACAAGTCAGCAGAAGACCTGACTAACGGTCACATGTCAGGACCTCTGGCAGCTAAAGATAACGTCTTGACCTAAGTTAGGTTTCAGTTTCTGAGCCCTGAGGTGGAACGGCCCTCTGGCTGTTTTCCCATGAGACTGGACAGAGGGACGCCGGAAAAGACCTCAGAAGTGTCCTCAAGACCTGAAGAAATGATTCGTTAGCCTTACCTCACCTCCGACCAATCAGCTCCCCACACGACCCCGAACCCCTAGACCACGGTGTCCTGTGGTTTCGCCCTATGACTTGTAACTTCTATGCCAGTGAGGAGCCAGCTCTTAGCACTAGCTCACCTGTGTCTCCGGGTTTGGCGTCAATCCCTAAATAAACCTTTACTTTCTTTGCTGCAAACTCCTGTTCGCATCTCATTTGGCTTTGATGCGTGCAGACAAAGGGATTTCTGTAGGTTGGTAGCAGCGTCTTCCCACCATTGGTGGTGTGTCTTTTTAAAAAAAAATTCCTGAAGGTCCAAATACTTGGAAGTGTAAGTGGCTAAAGGAAGTTCAGGTTCCTGTTCTGACTTGATCTCATATAGATTGAGAAGGCCGCGAGGGACAGCCGGGGCCTGGGTCCAGCAGGCCATGCCTTCTCTTTCCTTTAAAAGGGATTCGTTGGGATTTGTGGAGCGTCACCCAAGATGGTGACCCACCCTCTTAGATGCTGGAGATTGAAAGACTCTAATAAGGCCTGGTCCTTGTATTTGGTGAGCTCTCAGGTTATAAGAAGGAAGATAATTTTGCAAAAAATGATTGGAAAACAGGGTAGTAAGAGCTATTTTACGGGCATGAACAAAGGGGCAGTGATGGGGAAAGGGTGCCTTGTACTGGGTGGGAGAGCAGGGTCAAGTAGAGGCCTTCAGTTGAGTAGGACTTTTAATAGCTTTTCACATCACATACAATTCCCTAAATTTGCCTTAAAATTCCAACCACTTTTATTAAGACGAGGACCCAAGGGGTTTTGTCCTTAAAGTAGACATGGCTTCTCCAGTTAGAAGACCCCATTACTGCTAATTCCTGTCAAGAGCGGGACAAAGGCAGAAGAATCGGCCGTTAGGTGCCCACACGCATATACTTCTTCCAAATGTTTAACCCCAAAGGCAGAAATCCTTCCTAAAAGAAAATGAAGTTCTTAAATGGTTACACCGGTTGAGATTACAATGCTAGGGATCCAGCCACGGCCAATTGAATTGAGTTAGGGCCAAACAGCAGCTACACTCTAACAGGGAGAGCCAAAAATACACACCGAGACTATTCTTGGTATTTCTAAGCGGATCAGAAAGGTAACCTAACTAGCAATCCTGTAGATTGATCTCAGGATACTCTAAATTGCTTCCATTTTTTTTGCAATCAACTCAGGGAAATTTGCAAAAACTCCAAGCCAAATAATGTTGGTTTACTTAAAATGTTTTTAAAAAACTGGTGACTAAGAGATGTCCCATCCCCCACTCACTCCTGATTTTTCACGTAGGGAATCACAGGAGCTGGAGGGGCCTGCTGCAAACCTCAGAAGGTAGCCAACTTCTCCAGTGGAAGCTGAGAAAGTAGCTGAGGAAGTAGAGCATCTCAGCCTTCATGACACCAAGCCTAGGCTTTCTGCCCTGGGCCCCACCATGGGACAACAGGGTTAACAAAATGGATAAAAGAACTCCGTTTTTTCTTCTCCGTTTGCAAACACTTTATATTCTGGCCGTGCACCACTGGTTACAGGCAGCAGAACTAATTTGTTTTCTTCATCTGGCCTTTTAAAAACTACCATCAAGGTGAATGGATATTTTAATTTTAATAATAATGAAAGTTGACACTTATTGTGTGCTAAATTCCAGACAATGTGCAAAGGTTTAAAATCACTCTCCCACTCTCCCATTCAATCCTTCATCCAGCCTGGAGGCGGGACCCTGGTTATTTTGTGAACAGTGGGTGGGTTTGCCCCACCTTTAGGTAACCCCCTCCCCACTTTGCATTCCAAAGTTTGGGGACAGTGGCCACTACAGGGGCCTTCGCTTTTCAGCCTTTAAACACACTGTAATTTTGAAAGTTCCTCCTGTTGTAGGTATTACAGTGAGGCAGCCTGTTCAAGAAATGTAACTAAAGTAGTGGATTTTTTTTTTAATGGCCCAAAGACAAATTTTTCAACTAAGTCAACAAACTGTGTAATTGATGTATATGAGACTTTAAGAAGTCATAAATTAGAATAGTTCATTGGAACTAAAAATTCTTGGATAAAACACAATTTCCCAAAATGTTGATTTAAAAAGTCATCCTGAGTGTGTTGGCAATTTCGATAAGCTACTTTCTCCTTCCTATGTAGATCTTGTACACATAATAAATAAATGTGGACTTCACTAAAAAATTACATGTGCCTAATTCTGTGTTATTTTAACAATGTTAAAAATCTCGTCTTTTGTGGTTAATACCAAGGGTGGGCCAGGGGGCGGCCAGAGCCAGGTGTGAACTGCCTGGCCTCTAGAGCCGGAAGGGTGTCACCAGACGCATTTCTAAAGGAGGAAAATGCTCAGCTTGGGTTTGGAGTCTGAGCACTCACAAACCACTACCTCTTATTTGGAGTGGACTGTTCCAGAAGCTTATCTTTAAAGGGAAAACCACTGGAGTGCCACTGGGACTCAAATTTCTAAGAAGGAAAGGAGGAAGTGGTGTACTTTGAAGATAGAGGCTGGATTCCGTTGCTTAGTGATTGGACAGATGAGGACCAAGGGCAGGGCCGTGCTCCACCCCAGGGCTGCAGCCTTTGGAAGAACCCCGGGCCCCATCCACCGGCCCCGGTCACAGCCCACTGAGCTTCTTGCTTTAATACCACGGAGCCTTAGCGGGCAGGGAGGAGACGAGGACCAGCAAGCCCGACCCTGCCCTGGGCGTGGGGGGGCTTCAGCTTGTAAATCCCCTCAGTTCATGTAACAAGCCCCTGGAAATGCTAAAACAACCGTCAATCTTGAAATGGGGAAATTCCCGGTGGAAATCTATGTAAATGTGGCCAGTTACAGAAAAGTGTAAAATGCAACCCGTGATTTGGGGGTATTTTTGGCTTTGGAAAGAAAGCCCCGAGTGCAGAAGGAAGCCAGCGCGCTCAAGTTCGCGTCTGTCTAGCTCTGGGTGCGCTCAGGCATGGACGTGACCTCCCGGGCCTGCGGACGCCAGTTTCTGGGCCAGCGCGGGGGGGCACTGGAGGCCCTGGTGACCACCAGGCGGGCTGGCCCAGCGCCGTGTAACAAGAGGCCTCACGGCTCACACCTCTCTCTGCTCACCTCCCACCCACCCGGAGTATTTTTGACGGTGTTCCCCACTGTGTCCCTCAGCGTGCAGGCCCATATCTGGGCTCCTCAAGCTTGCGCCTGTAGCTGCGTCCCCCCGGTTTTGTTCACCTTTGGGCTCCGAGGGCTGGCAGCTGGTGGGCACATTGTCAGGAGCGGTGGAAAAAAAAGAAAGGAAGCAGAGAGCACAGGGAGGGGGGTGTTTCTCCTGTAGTCTCTGCATCACCCCTGAACCCGCGATGCTACCTAAGATGCAGCATCCCCCATCCAGGCGCGGGGTGCGCCCTCACCACCGCGCCCCCACGCACAGCCTTTCCACGAGGATCTGGCCTACGGTTCACCCTCTTCCCGGAGGTTAGGGGCTCCGCGGCAAATCCTCACTCCCGGCGCCAGGGCAGATGGGTGGAGGCCAAGATCCAGGCGGGAGGGCGCTGAGAGTGTTAGGTTTACGGCTCCTTAACAAAACTTGCAAAAGATTTTCGTTCCAGAGACTTTATGACCAGACCTGGGACTGTCTCTCAAAAGGGAGATCAGCACCTAAGTCTTGGTGGGTAAGGAATTTATAGCTGAAGCTGGATACAGAAGCAAAAAAAAGCAGTTAGTGTGTAAAAAGGAAAAATGGTTAGTTTATTTTAACAAACTATAAAACACAGTTAGGTTATTATTTTTAACGAGTTAATACATAACTTGCTTATCTTTTTGACGGGCTATAAAACATGACTTGTTTATCTTTTCCTAACAAGCTACCCAACTTATCTTTTCCCTAACAAGTAAGCTATAAAGCATACCTAGCTTATCTTTTCCTATTCTCTTGACAAGATACTTTGCAACAAGAGGGGACCGCGGCGGCGGCCTGCGGCCTTGCTGTCTGCATTTGGCAGCCAGCCGCGGAGCCCGCGCCCTGTGGAAGCCTCACCCGGCTAGTCCGCCTCAGCTGCGTTTCAGGCACGGTGACTTGGGCCAGGGGTCGGGGAGGAGGAACCGTTCACCGCTCTGGCCTGGAGCAGCCTCTGCCCACCCTAGCGTTCCCCCCTGAGCCTCCTTGACGCCTCCCCCGAGTCACTTTTTTAGGAGCAATATGCAAGCCACAGGTGGCCTGGCTTCTGCGTGACCTGGGGACCGCGGATTCTCCCCTCCGAGTTGGGACTTGGCAGCCCGGGGCTCCCAGCTCCCAACCCCAAGGTCCGCAGCGCCGCCGGGGTCCTGGACCCCCACGGTGGAATCCACCTCCCCCGCATCCACTTGTCCTCCGTGCCCAGTGCACCCCGGGACTCTCCAGTATGTATGTATGTATGTATGTATGTATGTATGTATGTATGTATGTATGTATGTATTATTTTGCTCTCCCCCCTTTTTAATTTTCCCTTTTTCCCTCCTTTCCGCCCTCTCTTTTCTCGTTTAGCGATTCTCCGGTCTTAAGCCTGGAGTGGAGATGGCCCTGGAGCCCAGACTCCTGGGGAGGTGACAAATGGGTTCGGTGCCACCGACGCCGAGGAACTTCCCCGCCCCCGCCCGGGGGCCACATGCTCCGGGCCGCGCCGGGTCTGCAGGGTTTGGATGTTCCCGACGCGCTACGCAGGCTCGGCCTGCGGCGGCCCTGGCCCTCCACCTTCGCCCCGATCTTGGCGGCCGCCGGACGGGAGGGCGGGGCCGCGTGCCGCC